ATATATGACAAGCTGGATGATGATGGTCTGATAGCTCCCGGGGTCCGTGTATCGGGAGATGATGTTATTATAGGCAAAACAGTCACCCTGCCTGAAAATGAAGATGAGCTGGAGAGCACTAACAGACGCTATGCCAAGAGAGACTGTAGCACTTTTCTCAGGACTAGTGAGACAGGCATTGTGGACCAGGTTATGGTAACTCTCAACCAGGAAGGATATAAATTTTGTAAAATAAGGGTCCGCTCTGTTAGAATTCCACAGATTAGAGACAAATTTGCCAGTCGACATGGTCAAAAGGGTACTTGTGGTATTCAGTATAGACAAGAGGATATGCCTTTCACCTGCGAAGGAATCACCCCTGATATCATCATAAATCCCCATGCCATCCCCTCTCGTATGACAATTGGTCACTTGATTGAATGTCTTCAAGGGAAGGTGTCAGCTATCAAAGGCGAAATTGGTGATGCCACTCCATTTAACGATGCCGTTAATGTGCAGAAGATTTCTCACCTTTTGTCCGATTATGGCTACCATCTAACAGGAAATGAGGTCTTGTACAATGGATTCACTGGCAGAAAAATCACATCACAGATTTTCATCGGCCCCACTTACTACCAGCGTTTGAAGCACATGGTGGATGACAAGATCCATTCCCGTGCTAGGGGGCCTATTCAGATCCTTAACAGACAGCCCATGGAGGGTAGATCCCGGGATGGTGGCCTGCGTTTTGGTGAAATGGAACGAGACTGTCAGATTGCCCATGGGGCAGCCCAGTTCTTAAGGGAAAGACTGTTTGAGGCATCAGATCCATATCAGGTTCATGTTTGCAATCTTTGTGGAATAATGGCGATTGCTAACACCAGGACCCATATGTATGAATGCAGGGGCTGTCGGAATAAAACCCAGATTTCTTTGGGTCAAATGCCTTATGCGTGCAAACTGTTGTTTCAAGATCTTATGTCTGAGTATTGCACCTCGAATGATGAGAGTTTAGCTCTTTTAAAAATTCTCAACAAGACTCTTATCAATGCCTTTTGTGTCTTATTTTAATGATATGGCTTTTTAAAATAACAAATAAATGTGTTACATTGTGAAAAAAAATAATTCTTCCTACCTGAATCCGGCTTACCCCCAAATCTATACCACCAATATGTAGAGTTGGCTCTGCATGCCAGAACCCTTACCATCTTAGGGAGTTCCTGGTTGCAGACTATATAAAGCATCAATGGAATAGTCCTTGTATTTGGGGACAGGTTGGTGACAACATTGACGAAAATTCTCACTGTCAATGTCAGAAACATCCAAAGCTGTAGGGAATTTTTATAAGAGCTTATTTGAGCCAAACTGATGACATAACCCTGAAGAGCAAGATCTCAGACGCTCCGGAAAGTAAGTTTTGCAACCTCTTTGATACATTTGAAATTAATGATGGAGCTAAGGAAGATTAAAGGTGGGAGAAAGCAAGGTGGGCCTTGGCTTACAGGCTAGTTAACAAGATTATGTGCTCTCTTGAGGATTAATACCTCCCTCCAGCAAAGAGCAGAGGACGCCAAGGGATGGGGGCCACAGAATGGGCCAAGTGGATTCCTAAATGAGGTCTGCGCATGCCTCCCGACCATGCTTGGATACATGGACCTGCAAGGAGACAAGATGTGAGTTCTATTAAGATCAAGATACAGAGGAGCTTGTTTTTGGCATATTTATGTATCTGCAAGTAAAAGTAGTCCACAGACAAATCTAGAAATCAAGCTTCAGAAACAGAAATCTAGAGGCAAATATGAATAGAAAGGAACTAACATATTCATCTTCCAAGAGCAGAAGATTCCAGAGGAAAGGTTCACAGTGAACCAACCTGGACCAGCCCCACCAGCTGGGCAGCTATGGTGAAGTCAAAACAAGTTCATGACAAACCTTAACTTTTCCAATATCTAAGAAGAAAGCATCTGAAAGGAGGAGAGATTGAGCCTGAGCTCCTTCCACCCCAAACATGTCCCTTGGGAGAGTGACGGTAGGAAGAAGAAATGACCAGAAGGCTAGGTGCAGCTCATTAGGGGACACCTGACATTTCGATGGTTTTGGAGCTCCATGGTGGGAAAGGATATTAACATGAAAGGGCAAGAAAAGGCTCCAGGCAGGGATCCTATGACTCCCGGCAGTACCTGGTCCTCAGGTACTCAGACCCCTGAGAGCAGGGAGCAGGTTTGGAATCTGAGACAACCTGTCATCCCAGATCAGCCTCAGAGGGACGCTCCCCTGATCTCTGCCCCTCCTCCATGTCTGATTGCTTTGGCGTTTGAGTTTAATCCCTCCTTTCTGAGCTGATGCAGAACAAGCCGCGTGCTCCCTTTCTTCTTTAGAGATAGAGATCCCCTCCGTGCCCCCTAGCAGCAGGGAAACAGACTCTTGCTCTCCTGGGTCAGGGAGGAGACACTCAAAAGATAGCCTGCTCCCAAGGCCAGGCCTCCCCTCCTTCCTGAAGTCAGAGGCTGGAGCCACTGTCAGGTCTCATTAGAGGAGCCGAGTGTCCTTGCTTACACTCTTAAAGGGGCAGAGATGGGGTAATCACCCCCACAGGGAAGTCAGGGTGGGGGTGGGCATTCTGAACTAAGTATTCAGGCTCATTAAGGCCAGATCCAGGAGATGCTACTTGTGCCCCTGCACTGAGCAATTATGACTAGCTTTGTTCAGGTCCTTCATCAGGGCCCGGGAACTAATTGACCCTGAACCTGAAGGCTTCATCTTGGTGAATGCAGAGGATTCCTGGGGATAGAAAAAGATACATGGCATAGAAAACAAAACCAAATAAGTCTTGTAGTTTCCTCCTAGTTGTTTCTCCCAAAATAGATCATTTGGGGCAATCCTCCATTCAGGGGGTAGGCCTTCATTAACCCATCGGCAACAGGCTTAGAAAAGTTTTTAAAACATCTAGTTAGTTTGGTCATTTAGAGAAGACATTCAAGACCAAAGATGCTAAGTAAGAAAGTAAGATTAGCTGAGGGGAAGCTGGAGTTTCTATGCAGCACAGTGGCCAGGAGAGGGGTGCAGAGAAGGCAGTTTTGAAACCAGTAAACATTTTCAAGAGCAGGAGATTCCAGAAGGGAGGTTCACAATGAACCAAATCCATCAGCCCCAGCAGCTGGGCAGCTATGGGCCGATCAAAACAAGTTCATGACAAATGACCTCCAGTAAGAAGAAAGCACCAATGCCTCTTCCATCCCATCTCTAGGTCACACTGGACATTGACTTCTTTGGGGGGAACGGGAGGTGGGTAAGGCCCAAGCTCCATACACCATTCCAGTGGGACTGCAAATGGCTCTCTGGAGTCTCTACAGACGGTTGTTTCCTACTCAAGTAAACTCAGGTCCAAGAAGGTGAGGGTCAGAGAAAGGCAGGGGTGTTGGCCAAGATGACCATTTTCTGCAGAAACCAAAAGGAGGCAAGTACACCCCAAGAGGCTGGTAGAGGGGGCACGGTTACTCTAGCCCCAGAGCCAGGTCAGGAGAGAGCCTCAACAGGAGCAGTCCACAACAGCTTTCTGCTCCTGTCCCTCGGCTCTTGACTCAGGAGCCTCTGGCTTCACATGGTGTCGGGTACCCCAAGAGCCATCTCCCTACAGAGATGGTCAGCTATGGTCAAGTCAAAACAAGTTCACAACAAACCATGTGCACTGAAGGTGCATCCTGGACAAGTCTGAATAACCCAATACGATGAGAGGACCATTGTTCTTATCTATAAGCAACTTTACACCCCCATACCTGAACGTTCTGGGGAGACTCAAAGACCAGAGGAAGGACTCCAGAGCCCTAAGCACCCTCAGGCTGAACCATGCCTTACCCTGCAAGTAATGGCATTCAGTTTGGGCTGACTTGCCCTTGAGTGGCACAAACTCCTCCCTTTGAGATGTGTCCCGATTGCCTCAGACAAACCAGGAGTAACATCCCCTTAGCCACAGTGACTAGTTCACATAACCCAGACCTAAGGTACTGGCAATCAGCACTTGGCATCCATTCCCTAACCAGGGTGCTATTCAGGACTGTTGCTGGGAATTCTGTCAGTGTTCTCTTGCCTTCTGAATGCTACCATGAGAGAGGAGCTTATGGGGGGAATGAGAAAAGAAATCTGGGAAACCACACCTCAAGTCCCCCTGTCCACATGTATGCATGTGCACGCACACACTCAGTGGAGGGAGCAGAGAAGCATATTTCTGGATTTTTAACTCCAGATTTTTCCAGAAAATCTACTGATGCTTTCTTTTCCCCCTCCCACCATGGAAGCAACCTGCAATTGATTTCTCTGCTATTCTAAGGTAAAAATTATTCTATATTTTAAATGCAAACATCTAGAATGGGTGGTTCAAGAATTCTGCAGTGAGAAATATAGGAATAATTCCTGAAAAAAGTCATATGGCAAACTCTGTTCTCTCTAATTTGCAAGATGGAGGAGAGAGTAACTGCAAATGTACTCACTATGTCACCTGCACAGGTAGGTTTTAGACCACTCCTCATGACAATGACAGACAAAAATTTAATACTCTGCTTATTACATGTCAGACATAGTTCTAAGCATTTTATCTGCTTTACTTCAAAGTGATTTTAGGATTAAGTGAATTGTGCTGTTTTTATCTCATATACATCTGAGTAAACTGGCCAAGTTACCACATCCATACCTCAAAGTCACAGAAAATCAGTGGTTGGGCAGGATTCTCACTCAATGTCTGGTCCCCATTGATAACCTCATTGCTAGCTCATCCTATCTCTATCAATGATGTGAATCAAACACATTTGTAGCTGTGAATGTATGTAGAATACAAAAATGTTCACAAAGGGAAGCTCATTGCTGAATAGAAACCCATTTGAACAACACCTGGTCATTCTTTGTATGTTAAGGCACGTTTAGGAGAGAACCAACTATGCTGATCATCTGAAAAAAAAAAATTCATAAGTTGAAATCCTATTGCCCCAGCCAATGGGATTAGGAGCTGGAGCTTTGGGGATAAAGAGGTGTAGCAACTTGCAGAACTCGCCAGGGAGGGAGTTGGAATCCTTTTGATAAGGTATCTGGAACAGACATTCCCCAAGTGAGAATACAAGAAGTCAGAAGTCTGCAATTGGAAGAGGGCCTGCACTGACCGACCATACAGCTAATAATTAAAAATATGGGCTTGTGGCAGGGCGTGAGGTTTCAAGATGGCGGTTGCTGGATAGCTGACCGGGAGGCACGGTGAAGGCCCCTATGAAGGGAAAGAGGCCGAGAATCCTCCCCTCCTGGCGTCTCAGAGCCCAGCAGAAGTGTTTGGACATTCTTTTGTTGATCCTGGTAGCTTTGGTGGTTTGGTCTTTTTTTTAATAAACAAGTGAACCATATAGATTGTCAACATGGGACGAAGATCCACATCATCTGCTGGAAGCCAGTCCATCCTTGCTGCTTGACACAGTCGCTGCAGGGAAGAAACATCTGCACAGCATATGTTTCAAGGGACCTGGCGTATATGGCATACTGTTCTTAATATGTTTGCTCCCCTTCTTGGC